TTGTTACTAGAAGCGATGCACTTGTTCCTAGTAGCTTCTTGTTACTACTAGTAAGGCACTTGTTACTAGAAGCGATGCACTTGTTCCAGTAGCTTCTTGTTACTCTGAGATTATTTTTGGCAAGTTCTTTTACTGTGTTGGTTCCGTTCATGAGCACATTCGAGCACTCCACATGGAAGTAGATCAGCCCAAAGATGAGTCAGGCAGTCTTAGAAGGCTTGCTCGTCCAAGAGCAGTCTCCCTCTTCCATGTGTTCTCCTTACCTTTCGTTCACCGCTCCTCAAGTGTATTTTGGAAAATATTGACAGTATGTTTTTGTCGAGAAGACATACGTGTGCGTTTCGGAATGCAACCCCATGTTTCTGAAAGGGCGCGTTGGCGTGCATGTGTGCCGAAATGCTTCCAACAGTGGAAAAACAGAGCTATGCTGTTGGAATTGCAACGTCGTGTTTTTAACTGTATGCCATGGCTGTTGAAAGCAAACCAACTGAATACACATGCTGTCTCACGGGCTCGCTGGGCTAAGAGGAAAAACATGTGCTTCTGTTTGAATCAGTTGCTATCTGGGGTCTATGCCAGTGTACTTTAGTTTAAACAACAGGTCGTTCTCTTATTTCCCCATCCAGTTTACTGTTTAGTTTAAACAACAGGTGGTTCTCAATTCTTTCTTAACACGTGTCCGCCCTTTCTGTCACTGCTGGTGTCCGCCCCTTTCCGCTGGCCATGCAGCATTTCTATTCATTTGTCTCCCATGCGATTTCTTTACTTCCCCATCTTCCCCAAACAGGTGACTGTTGGGGGTTCTCAATGCTTTCTAAGAGTGTCCTCCTGGCTGCAGGACAGCGTCTCCCCCTTCCGTCCGGCTTGTCACCCTTTGTCTCCCTTTTTGTTGTTCACTGTGTCCGCCTTGTCTCCTTTTTTTGTCCTGCCTTCTTTTGTCTCCTTTTTGTTGCACGATGCCAACCTCTGCCTTGCAATCCTTTACACTTGTCTCCCAGCTCTGGGCTGCGTGTCGCGTGCAATCCTTTACATGTGTCTCCCGTCTCCCTGTGTCTACATTTGTCTCCCAGCTCTGGACGTCGCAAACTCTAGTTGCAGAGTGATCCGATTTTGAAGAGCACAAAGTGTTTGGGGTCTACGGTGGTGTAATTTTGTTAAAGAGAGTGATCAAAAGCAGAAAAGACACCCTGTTTTTCAGGATGGCCAGGTGTGCCTGGCAGAGCCCACGCTGCGTGGCTGCAGCGCGTTGCAGCCCTGCAAAGAGCCTGAGTTGGAACCCGAAAATGCCTGTCGGTACGACTACAGCGACGCGGACGCAGGAGACGACGAGGACGAAACGGAAGAGCAAACGAAAGGACGAATTTCATATGCATTTGTTAGAAAATAATTAAGGTGTTCAACAACATATGCATGTCAAGTCACGTGTCGAGAAGGTCTCAGTTCTCGTTTTCGAGGTGACTGCGTGCAGTATCCGCCCAAAGCCGGAGAAACGTGCATTATTCGTTGTCGAGATCCTTATGTTGGGACTTTCGGATTTGCGGGCTGCCCAGCCGACAACACCGTCTTCAACCGGACGGGCCGTTGATTCAAAGTGTTTTCTTTGTTTCAAACAACACAAAGAACATGTTTGTGAAGTTTCCCTAAAAATCTAGGAACCAAATCATTAGTGCGAGCGCATCTCGCCCATATGTAGTACCTAGTTTCTCACTCAATTAAGTAGGCAGTCTCTACATAATTAAACAGCGGGCAAAAAACATGTTTTCTCAAGGATGTCGTGTTTCCAGGAGTTCCATTTGGTTGGATGGGGTGCCCAAACCAGACTGCACCTTGAACTGCCCCGATCCTAGCGATGTTCCTTTTGGCTTCATCTACATCATGACGCTTGGCAACCAACTAAATTGAGGTCAACATACAACAGACACAAACAGACACAGTCTACTTGGTGCAACTGTTTGCACGTTGTTTGCACGTTGTTCACACTTTGTTCACACTTTGTTTGCACTTTGCACTCCATTTGTGTCTAAAAAATTGAGTCTGGGCGCTCTTGAGGCCTGAGGGATACATGAAGGATGCTGATTCTTGGCACACGTTTGGACTCAAAGTGAGGACAACATGCGACGCCCACACAGTGAAAACAAACTGCGTTTGCAATTCATTGTCCTTCAAAGTTGATCTGGCCCAATTGACTTTAAAATTGTTTTCCTGAGGCGGATAATTGGATGTGTGCTGAAGGCTACGCTGGTAATGTCAGGTATGCTTGTTCTTTCGGACCAAATTGCACGCTCATCAATGAACCTGCTGGTGACTCGGAACGCATGGCATTCACATATCCTGAACTCCATCGTTGATCCTGTGTAACTACAACTAAAAACACACGAAAAGCTGAGCTGGAAACTGCGATTCAAGTTTTCTTTTTACCGACGTGCTATTCATGTTTTTGCAAGTCGAATGCTTTTATATTTGATCAACCAAATTCGAGCACTGTGAACGTTCGCGTTCAAGGATGTTTGCCATTTGCTCCATGCGCGGGGATGACCACCACGACTGCATTGGACAACTGCAGCTTAGACACGATCCTGTGTGAAGGCGGAATTCCTTTCAGATGTGACATGTGAGACATGTGTCACACCGACATTCCACAGATGACACGTGCCTGCTTGGAGCTTTTGATGTTCTCTTCGTTACGAGAGAAGCTGTTTAGCAAGAAGCAAAACTTGACAGTTGAGACAGGATGAAACAAATAGACAATATAAAAGATGTATTTAATATTGTTTGTCTATAGACGAGTTCATTTGCGCTTTTCTGCGCAGGCATAGGACCCGGTGTAGCGTGCAACATCCATTGTCGGCCGCCGTATGTGGGACCACCAGGCGCAGAATGCATCACGACATGTCTGAAGGCACTCTCTTCTTTCTCGTTGCTCTTTATTTTTGCAAATCTTCCGTTTCACTCATTAATTAGAATTAGAATTAATACCTTAGAGGATCCAACTAGTAGCTTCTTGTTACTACTAGTAAGGCACTTGTTACTAGAAGCGATGCACTTGTTCCTAGTAGCGAACATTGTTAGTGCACTTTCCGAAACCTTTTCACCATTCCTTTCAGGTGAGGGTTGTTGGTTTCTCCGCCTCCTCCGGACCTCAACCGCCAGCTCCGGCTGGCAGTGTTCCCCGGATCTCAACCGTGAGTGTCAGAGATAGAAACTGCCAGATAGAATGTCAGATTGAAATGTGGTGGGGATGACTCGAAGTACAGAAACTATTCTCTTTTGCTCTTTCTTTCAGTCTGCGTTGTCGCGGGAGTTCATCGCTGCGCATCCGCGGAGGTGAGGCGATATGTCCTGAGAATAACACAGACCCCACCACCGAGGTGCAGCGTTTGCCCTTGTTTGCAATGCAATTTTGACGCGTTTTGCAGGATTTGCTTTTGTCTTCACTTTCGAAGTTTGCAATTTAAACACATGTCGCAAGAGTTGCATTTGTCTTCGCTTTCATGCATGGCATTTCGTCGCATTCTGCAAGTGTTGCTTCTGTCTTGACTTTCACAATGTTGCTCCTGTCTTGACCATCACAGCTTGCAATTTGTAGACGTTTCTGCGCGTATTGCTCTTCTCTTGGCTTGCGCAGTTCGTATTTTTTCGTATTTTGCCAGTGTTGCTCTTGTATGAACTTTTATTCTTGCAATTCTTGCACATTTTGCAAGAGCTGCTTTGCTTTCGCTTTCTCATTGTGGTTTTTGCGCGTTTTGCAAGAGTTGCTTTTGTCTTCGCTCTCACAGTTTGCAATTCTTACTCATTTTGCTAGTGTTGCCTTTGTCTTGACTTTCACACGTTGTAACAGATTGTAGAGCTTCGCAGACCGGCGATGCCGGTTGGGCGTGTGTTCGCTATCGCGTTCAGTTTCTGATTTTATTACTATTTTTCCTGTCCGTCGCCTTTGTAGTTCTTGCTTTGTTATTAAGTTCTTGTTCCTTTCGAATGCATCGCGCGCGCCTTCGGGACCTCATCTCATATCAAACACGTTTGAGGCGCGCGCGCTCGCAAACAGAGACCAGGCAAAATCCCTCAGGTTGATGGTGGAGATGCCTTTTTTTTATGACAAAGAAGACAGAAGACACTGTAGATATCCATGTTTTTGGCTGTCAGAGGCTTCAAAAATTCCCCAAAAACCACGCTATTTGCGTAGTTTTTTGTGGCTTTACGCCAGGAAACCGCGTAAATACCGATGATTTTGAGCTACCGAGTGCTCAAAACACGGTATTTACGATGTTTTTTCAACAACGCAATATTTGCAGCATTTCGCGCACCACGCCCCCCAAACACGTCGATATTTACGCAGTTTTGGCAACGCTGCGACATGTTTTTTCTAGACCGAAATTTGTGAAAGCGCTGTAATTTACGTGTTTTGCGCCTTGGCACAAACCGAAAAAAGGCTTCAAAGCTGTCCCTGTAAGATCCAAATCTAGCCCCTTTCCAGTTCCCATTTTTTGTCCAACGCACCTCTTTTTTTGACGACTTTTTTCGACATCCCAAAGTCACCAAAAAGGCCTCTTCCCCCACCAGGCTCAAGGATTTTGCTACATTCCTCGTTTTGCCGTTTTTGCAATCGCTCCAGGAGCAAAACCGGCTCGAAACGCAGGCGAGAGCGCAATTTTTTAAGTTCGACTCGCAAAACACCGTAAGGGGGGGGGTCCCGGCATCGGGAGCACCCCCCCATAGCTAAAACTAGGGCGATCAGCTACACCATACACAGCGTCGCCGGAATGGGCTGACGCTCAGGTGCCGCCGGCCCCTATTGGTTTGCGACGAATTGGGCCCAGGTGGAGTTCACCCCTTGTACTTAAAGAAACATCGTTTCGCCTTCCTTTCCGTGGTTAGGCGTCAACGATGGTTGGAGTAAGCCGCTGTTTGCATTGAGCTCGCAGGAGGTGCGCGTTTTGATTTTCCATTTTGCAGCCACTTGTGAAGAAGTTCCGGCTTTGTCCAGAGCTGCGCGCGGAGAAATCATGAAATTCCCCCAGACTTTTCCGAGGATAACTTCCAAACTTCTGCAGAGCTGGCGGTGAAGCAGCTGCTTGCGAGCTTTTTGGTTGCGCGTGGCTGTCAAGTGGCTGCCAATGTAAGTGTCTGCAAGTGGCTGCCAACCCAGGATGCAAGTTCTGCCTCATAGCCTCTTATGTCTCCAGACCTCATGAAAAATGGTTGCAAAACTGTCACCATGTAAATTGGTTTGGAAATCACAAACTTATTTTTCAAAGCTGGGTGCAGTACTGATTCCTGGAGGCTTTTCCTGGAGGCTTTCAAAACATACACCCTCTAGAGGGCCAAAGCGTTTTTGTGTAGGCCGAAAACATATGAATGAACACCATTGTCCTGAGAGGACGACGATACGTGAGGATGAAAACCGAATGGTGTGGAGGATGTTGTTTTGGCTGAGGAGCAGGCAGGCTGGAAACCGTATGACGCGGATTCAGTGGAAGAATGGGGAGATGACTTTCCTCTGAAGACATGAAGCCTTGAATCCCTGCTGACCTCCGACGCCTTGAAGCGTTGATGTCTTGAACCCCTGCTGACGCCCTGAAACCTTGAAGTCTTCATGTCTGCGCGTCTTGCGTCTTCGCGTCTTGGAGTCTTCGCGGCTTCACGTCTTTGAGTCTTCTTCGAAATCATTTTTTGAAGTAAACAGATTAAGCAAGAAAACCTACGCTTACAACACCTTGTCTGTTTAACAGGACCCTGGCTTCACTAAGTTTTCTGGAGGTTGGGGGAGGCGTAGGGTAGATCAAGGTCAGGGCCTTAGGTTTTCATCGTCGCGTGTTATCATCCTCTCAGGACTGGTTTTCATTCATACGGCCTACACAAAAACCGTTCAGACCTCGTCTAGAGGGTATATGTTTTGAAAGCCTACAGGAAAATCAGTGCAACCATTGATTCAAATGACTTCTGGTTGTAGGTATCCACGACCGGCAGAAGAGAACGCTGAAATCAATTTACAAGTGAGTAAGCGAATTAAACAACAACTACGCTTACAAGACCTTGCTTTTAAACAGAACAAACAGAACCCTGGCTTCTCTACGTTCTCTTGAGGTTGGGGGAGGCGAAGGAGTAATTAGATCAGCGTCAGGCCCTTAGGTTTTCATCCTCACTCTCAAGCCCATGGCGTTCACTCATACGACTTACAGCCGTGGCAATGAGGGGGCACTACGAAATCTCAGGGCCAAAGCAAGTACGCGGTTTACAGCTTTGTCAGGGTGTACAGCTAGGAGAAAGGAAGCAGTACGTGATGCAGAAAACGCTGTGGACAATCAAGTTTCCCTACTCAAGCTTCAAAGGGTCACCCGGGGACACTCGGGGAACACTTCCTTGCGGTGGTGCTGGTGACGCTTGTTTTGGCCCTGTGCTTTCTTAGCGCACTCTGGAAAAACTATAGTGATCAATGTCGTCTGTTTGAGCTCACGACAGATCGTTTCGGTAAGGGCGCGCTTCTCAGTGCAGAAGATCTCAACACATGGTTTTGGACATTCTCTTCTGGCATCCCACCCACTTCGACCCAACTCTTCTCCCTGCCCTTGAGGTCCGGGGCTGGGGCCATTGGCAAAAGCCATCCTCAGCATGGGATCGGAGGATCAGGAAAGGAATTGCCGCAAAGAGATCCTGGGATTCTGCAGAGCTCTAACGGAGGAATCTTTATTCTCCACAGTGGCTCCACGAAGAACTCCGAGCAGTCTCCAGCGACTTGGCAGGTGCTTGCGAGCTTGTGGGTTGCAAGTTGCAAGTGGCTGTCTGAGCAAGTGGCCGCAAAACCAAAAATCAAAATGTACGTCATTTGCTCGCTCTCTGGCAGTTTGGTGTCAATGGTGGTGGGCGTAAACCGTGGTTGGGGCTGTTGTAGTGCATCCAGAAACATGCACCCTGGAGCATACGGTTTTAAGGGCGGTGGGTCGCAAAGTGGTGGGTGGTGTCGGCGTGTCCACCTGCACTTTGCCCCATGCAACGGTAAAGGGCCTCATTTGACTACAAATGGAAGCGTGCAAAACTACCACTCAAAGAGGTCAAGGCCAGGTCCAGTCGGGAAGCTACTCTTATCGCTGCCCATTCTGCAGCGTCAAGCGCGCCGGTGAAACAAGGACAGCCGCGGCTGTGGCAGACTATTTCAAGTGCGTGACCGCGTCACGTGTGGCCGACGCAAGTGCCCTGCATTTACAGCGCCCGACGACGCAGAAAACTCTCATTGGGCGAGCGTGCCCGACAACATCCTGGACTGTGTATTGGCAGGCAAAGGGGCGCCAGACTAAAGCTGAGAAGCCATGTTTGTTTGGCACGTGCAGCGCGGCGCGGCTGCACCCTTTCCCCATCTATTTCTGCGCGCGGGGACTGGGATGAGCCTATTTAGGCGTATGATGGCCGTGCCACGCAGCAGTTTCGAAGCCGGATTAAAAAACATCTTGCCGTGCCCGTGGAGTGCGGTGCTGCCACGCCTTTTCCTCTCTATTTCTGCGCGCGTTTTGCAACAGTTGCGTTTGTCTTTTGTCTTGACTTTCACAATTTGCAATTTGTACACATTTTGCACGCGTTGCTTTGTGTCTTGTCCTTTCACATTTTGCAAGTTCTGCGCGTTTTGCAAGTGTTGCCTTTGTCTTGCTTTTCACACTTCGAAGTTTGTATCTACCAATTTTGCAAAGTTGCTCTTGTCTAGCCTTTCGCATTTTGCACATGTTGATTTTGCTTCAAGCTTCAGATTTCCAATTGCTGCGCATTTTGCAAATGTTACTTGTGTCCTCGCGTCCGTTTGCACTTGCTGCACATTTGCAATTGCTGCTTGTTGTCACGACTTTCACATATTGCGGGGTATTCACTTTTTGCAAACGCTGCCTGTTCTTACTGCGCATTTTGCAAATGTTGCTGTTGCAAATGTTTCACGTTTTGCACGTGTTGCTTTTGCTTTGATTGTCACGCGTTGCAAGAGTTTCAATGATTGAAAAACTGCTCATTTTGCAAATGTTGATTTTGGGCTTGGCTATTATTCTTTTCACGTCTTGCGCATTTTGCTAAATTGGTTTTTGTGTTGACCTTCACATATCGCAATTCTTGCACATGTTGCAATGGTTGGTTTCACAATGTGCAACTCCTGTACATTTTGCAGATGCTGCTTGTTGTATCGACTTAAACCTTTTGAATTTCGCTTCACTTTCTGCAAATGCTGCTTGTTCGTTCTTGTTTCACACTTTCCATCTCTGTGTGTTTTGCAAATGTTGCTGTCGCGTGGTCTTTCAAAATTGCTGCGCCTTTTGCAACAATTGTTTCTTTTAGATTTTTGTTCGCAACCGTTTTGTGTCGCCTTTTTTGTACTTACTTCAGATTTTTGATAAAATTGTTTTGTTTTGACTTTCGTGTGCGTCATTTTTTGACGCAATTTGCAAAGGTGGCTTCTGTTTTGGTTTTCGCCCTTTTGCATTCCGCATGCATTTTGGAAATGTTGCTTGTGCCTTGGCAATCACACGTTGCAGTTTTTGCACATTTTGCGAGTGTTGTTTTTCATTTTGACATATACATTTTGCATCTTTACACATTTTGCAAGTGTTGCTTTTGTGTTGCCATTCACACTTTGCAATTACTGGGCAGTTTGCAAACGTTGCTTTTGTGTTGACTTTCACATGTTGCAAAGCTTGCGTATGTTGAAATGTTCCTTTTGTTTTGACATTGACAGTCATTTTGCAAACGCTGTGCATTTTGCAGGTGTTGTTTTTGTCAAAATTATTTCTTGCACATTTTGCAAGTGTTGTTTTGCGTTGTCTCCACACTCTGCAACTACTGGGCATTTTTTGTATCAAGTAAAGCTTTCCTGTTGGGCGTTGCCAGGTTCAATGGGTGTATATGCCAGGTTGCTATTGCCCAGACACATGCCAGGACACGTTGACGGGCCTACAGATTTCATTCCGAAATTTGTTGGATTCTTTTCTTCTGATCGTTCCTTCATGTTCCCTCTCACCTGTCGTTCGCAGGAAGAAGAGGGTTATTTAAAGATCATCGCGGATCCAAGTGCGCCACAAATGTGTTGTGTCATCCTTGAGACGATACAAACTGTCAATCTTCTTAGGGGTCTTTTGGACTATGTTATAGGTTAGACATGGATGGGGTTTCTGGATAAGGCCGGTAGGGAGAGGAGGGTGTTTTTCGAGGTGCTCGGAGGACAACTGAAAGATGCTGAAGCGTTTGCTTGTCGAGGCATCTACTTCCGACGCCTCTTTCACCTTGGAGCCGCTGATCCTTGGTGCAGTCAATGGCCAAAAGATGCTCAAAGGATCGGTTTGACATTTCTCCAAACAAATCATCACAATGTACCTAGGAACAAGGGCATCGCTACTAGTAGCAAAGGGCATCAAGGACGAAACTAGTAGCTCGCGGCCTTACTACTAGAAACAAGACGCTGTTTTTTTGATGAATATTTCATACATGCCACTTTACACAACCTCGGAGAGTGCAGCAAGGGCTGTCCCGGTCGTCATGTCCGTCGTGCTGTGTTCCGCTCCGCACCTGAGAAGCGCGTCGAAGTGCAGCGAGTGCCAAGTTGGAGACGACTTCGCCTTGGAACCTTTTCTTTCGCTGGAACCAAGGACGCTACTAGGGGCGCCTGGCCGTACTACTAGGAGCAAGAAGCTACTAGGAGCAAAGAGCATCGGTACTAGGAACCAAGGACGCTACTAGGGGCGCCTGGCCGTACTACTAGGAGCAAGAAG